TATACATCGTGAACACTTTTGCTCTCTAATCAGGCTACATCAAATGACCATCAAACAATGTTGCCGATCTGCGAAACTGCCTCAAATTTCCCACTCTCTCATCCGTGTGAGATTTAGTATCTCTTATGTTGATCCGAAATCAAGTACGTTTGAGGAATCTTGGGCCCATGGCCGAACAATTGGTTCTCATGTCACTAGGATTCTATTATTGCCTACATTGAATTCGAAGTTCTCTACCGCTCTTTTATGTCCAGGTAAGTACCTATATATGAGTTTGAAGTAAGCTTCAGGAAATATCTCTGGTTATACACTACAAATCGTTGCTGTTGTTCTCTCATTTGTATAAAGCTAAATTATCTAAGCAAATCCTTCTTTGCGGTGGCTGTCGCCCACCGCACCCTAATTAGACACTTTTCCCATAGCCACAACAAGTATAAGCTGTGTATTTTAGTCAGAAAATACAAAACTAAACGAGGCGCCCCCCTTGGTCGTAACATTACCCCCTATCTCACCCGTCTCGTCTTTCTCTTCGGTTATTGACAAATGATTGCTGTCAATCGGAATGATGCAAACGTCTCAAAGACCGCCAACACAGCTCACATTACGACAAAACAACTAGCGATCTAGTGGCGTGCCATTTCTCACACTTGGTTGTGTACCACTGATTACCATAGCGAGTTGTATTCGATCTCCCCCGATTTCCCCCAGCCGTTCGACCGCTTTTGGCATGACGGACTCCCAATTTTAGACTCTCCACGTGTTTCTTGACGTGGATAAGAAGCTTTGTTCGGGACCGTTCAATCTTCCTTTGACTAAATGATTTCGATAGCAATCTCAGTTAATTCCTGTCTCCAAAAAAGTTCCCTGTTGGCATCTATTCTCTTCAATCCCTTCATCGACAACTTTTTCTCACAATTCCTGACCCTCTCCATGATATGTTTATGATGCCACCACAATGTTTTCACTTTCTTACAGCAGTTCCTCTATCTCATCTCTCCACGCCACTTGAGGGTCAATTGTCTACGTACTTCACTCGCTTCAGACCGAAACACAAATGCGCTGATTGAGGCTCTGAAAATCGGGTGGTTTTCGATGCCGCCAAGTCCTCTCAGCTTCCCCTATCCAGCTAGCCCAATCTTTGCTCTTCCAATCTGCATTGTGACTCTTATTCGCGTATACAGGTCTAGCTAATCTCAGATTTTCCACTTCCATGTATTTTTTGCTTCATATTGTTGAATTTGCATTACGTGTGTTCAGTAAGATTTCCTACTTTTGCCGAGCTCAATAGGTTTTTAATCTGCTCTTAACTTCCTACTTGTGAGTCCAAAAAATCGTCCAACGATTGAATATTATTTCTACGTCTTCTTTCACACTTCGGAGAGCGTTATTATGAAGCCTTTGGCCATTTTACGGATCCATATCGAACACTCACTGTTCAACCCTCTGCTTATCGGCATGTGATCGCCATCTTCTGCCTGTGTTGCACCGTTATTGCTGCGCATGTTGTTGTCTGGAGCTTATTTCTTTGGTCTTTCCCCAACAGTCTTTTGCTTGAGATACACAGCCAAAGTGTTGTTATTCTCACCAAGTGACTCTAAAAGCCTCTCGAACTCCATTGTTTAAATAGTTTTTGCAAGAACTGCACAACTGTGAACTGCTCGTTTTATATTCTTCTTCCTTCTTCTCCTAATATTCTTACATTCAAGCGCAGGTGCTTCCCGGCTCGGTTGTAAAGCAGGCTCCATAATCGTGCCATTTACCTCTTCACTATATGTGATGTGCCTATCAGGAAATAAAAACTGTTTACCTGTGCCCTACATTTTACACAAAAGACAGTATCCTGGCATCAGAACTCATCGTAGTGACAATTCAACATTCCAAACTGTTTGCGTTTCAGACAGCTGCCAGAGGTTGACGACCAGCTGCAAAAAGTGATCATTTGTACAGTAGCTTTTTAATCAGTAGAATTCCAATGGTGGTAGAATGCATGTGGTCCAAAGCGTATTGAATGCTTGCGTATATATATATATATATATATATATATATATGCATTGGAAATGATGCATTATAGACTGAAGACAATATCATCGAGAGAGTATTGCTCTGTTAACTGTTCAACGAAGGATAGACAGTTTTTAATCGATCACATTTCAGTAGTTCAATCTTTGAAAATACAAATTTTGTTGGACTGTGGAGTCTTATTTTACCAGTACCAAATGACTCGTGAGCACTATTTCCATTATTAAACATCCGGGTTCAAATACTGACCAGTTCTATGTGGTGAACTAATTACAAACGATGATCGAGTTTGAAAGAATATTTGCTGTTTATTATGAAGTAGTAGGTGATTTCAGTTTATTGTGTTTATATTTCTTATCATGACATAATTGGTAACTAAAATATTACGTCTATTGAATGAATTCAATCAGTCCGATTAAATAAAAAGCACTTCTCAACCCAGTAGAGAATAACACTCTTAGACAAACAAGAGGACGTATTCTTTCAGACCGTAACCTGTGCGTGTAACAGGAAAATGTTCCATTCAATGTCAATCACGTGATGCTAAAACTTGACGGCAATCCACTAACGACGCAGTAAAACCAAACTCAGAGGGAGTTCTGAAATGCGGGATTTCGGAACTATTTAAAACAAAAAACCGGTTACACAGAACACAAATCCCCGGTTCTGGTATCGTGCTCGCACCTATTTTATTTTTACATTTATTTAGCACTTTCCAATAACAGTAAAGAATGAACGGAAACGAAAAGAAAACTGGAAAATAGCTTGTCACCCCGCCTTTTTTGCAAGGTTTTAGTTCCTTAACATCTAACCTCATTTCCACGCGCAAAGAGAGACTGAAGAACATATCTAGCGGGAGTCAAACCTGCGATCGGAAACGCTAACAATTGTTCAACTACGGTCACCTAAAATTGCTGTTGCTATTGATAATTAGTTTAAGCAAAATCCCCGATAGCAGTGTGACTCTCCGATTTCATTTTTTTATTTTAGTGTTTAGTGTTCTTTTTTGATTGACCACTTTGAATTTGGAGTGAAATAACAAATGAAATCGAATAACGCTTTCGTTCATCTGTATACCAAATGTGTGAGTTACCTTTTGCACACACATACACACACACGTGAAATATCTTCTTTTCACTCCTAGGAGCAAGCCCCTTTGACCCTCAAGTGACCAAAACTATCCGTAGTCATAATTTCTTTTAAATAACATTTATTTCTAACACCAAAATAATACACTTCCTCTAGCATGCAAGCACAAAAATTGTGCCATTTGAAGAGGGGGAGGAGGACGGGGCAGTTCTGTCAAAGTAGATTCAATGTCTTTTGTTTTGGTTACTCCTGATCGAAAGCTTCTGGTCTGATTTCTGGGACCATGAAACAAACGCGTGCCATGTTGGGCTATATCACATCAATTTTGGGCACAAGGCACACTACCTGGACACATTTGTGGAAACAGTCGCATCGATCTGGATAGTAACACTTCAATGTCCACAGGACGATCAATATATCACGATGACTAGACCAGCATTGCACAGTTTCGCGCCAATAGTGTCCTAAATCCACTTGCGCCTCATTGAAAGCACACGTCCAACATCCCAAATGCCATAAATTTTTATGGTCAGCCGAGTTAGGAGTCCGCAACGCACAAGCACGACAAACACAACTGGCCATCCATCGTCAACCGAGTAAAGAGCATGTTCGGGCTGTGGTCCACGGAACGCCATTTATGAGGGTGATTCAATTTAGTTCACATTTCGGTTGGTCAAGCATCTGCCCGTTTAGGGATAGCAGTGAACTCCAGGTTTCCTCGCTTGCGTTTTCCCCCGTACTACCTTATTTTTCTATGCATGAACCTCAATTGTGAACACTGATTAACTACTGAAGATTGATCCCATGTGTGCATAAATTGAGGCCACCTTGGTGGGTACATAGTAGCGACTAGTTTCTATCAGCAAAGTGAACTGCATATATGCAATCAAGTAAGTATAACTGATAGTTTTACTGAGCTCATGCAGTGGATAGTATTAGTATGTGATGTTTTAGATTACCATTTTCAACCTTTTGCAGTGCTTTGGACCAGTGAAAATCAGATGAGCAAATTGTGGATTGTTGATGAGCGTGAACAAGGACGAGACAGTTGCACGAGGCCCAATGTGCAGGTCATCAGAGAACAATAAAATGAATTGAGCTAGGTATTCCTTGAACTCAGCTTAATGAAACTCGCTTAATGAAACTGGAAAATGTACCACAAATGAAAGTTCACTAAAATCCATTCATTTTGATTGGTTCAGTGGAAGTGGACAAAGATAAAGTTGGGGAATCTTTTGCATAACTCGTGCCCTTGCATGATGAGCCATAAAGGATAAGAAGAAGAAGAGGTATGTCATGCGTTAGAAATATCGCTAAACAAACTAAGAGGCTTTTCAGCCATCCGAGTTGATCAGTGTAACCTAAGCGTTTGATTGAATTGCACTCAAAAGAAACACCGAGGTCATCAAACTGATGACAGTTACCAGTCAGTCTGCTTCACCTAAATAGACTGTAAATCATAGTGAATGCAAGGCTGAAACCAGAATTTGATCGCACATGAACAAAGCTTTGTTCGTCTTGTCTTTTGAACTATAGTGATTTTCATCCATAGAGAGACATATTGTTTATTGACAGTTCGTTTAACTATCTTCGGAAAATCACTGTACCATTTTGCTTCTTTTGAATGTGACATACTCATCTTGTTGATCCCATATCTCATGATATTAACTAAATTGCGCATCTATATGTGCGCACCCGGGGTCATCACAACCCAGCGCGACGTTCCACTTGTCTCTTAAACAAACCAGAACGAACGGGAAGTGTGTGTATGTTAATCAGACAATCAATAAGAGCGGCATAAATACGGAATAATCGAGGTCAATCTGATTTCCAGTGTTGCACACTCAGCTGAACTGCGACCCGCTCCCATTCTGAAAACTTTGTTCACAAGAATGACATCAAACAGTCGATCGAAGCGTACAAATTATTCGACGGAAGTCGAGCAGGAAATCAACGACTTAATCACTCTACACTGGGGTGCTTCACGAACATACAGTTACCTATCTCATCTGTGTGATCGACAGACGGAATTGTGCGGTTTCCGGGATTATTTTCGTCTGTTCGCGCTACGCAGTCAACGCAATGCTGATCGTCTGACGCGATTCCAGGTGGTTCGAGGTGGACAAGTCGATCTGGGCGAGGTGAAACCGATCATCCATATGTCAGCGGATGAGCCGGCTGGGATGTACAAATTTCTCTCGCATGCACTGGACACGGAAAAACGCATTGAACAAGTAAGTTGTAGGCCGTTTGCATTATATCAGATTGGTGACAACAAGACGGAGGTTTAAATAATATTTTTCTTATATATATATATATATATATATATATATATTTCTTATAACCTAGTTGAGACAAATGATTATCAACCAGTAATATGATATTCTAAATTGCCTTGAAATAAGCCCATTTTTTGGTATGGTCAGAACTCATGTAGTTGACGATAATGTAATTTCCAACTGAATAAAATTAATTTCATTTATGGCGATAGATTTGTAATTTGTCGAGAGAATGAGAAGTTTCAAATCGATTTTTGATCGCGAAAGGGGATGAATTGAAGCTCCTCGGATTGCCTGGGGAAGTATGGGGCAAAATCTGGTTTTATAAGGATGGTCAGTTAACTAACCGCACCAGCTCTGGGCTCTAGAACGGTGAGGATACCTGGGTTCTCTTACGTTGGGCATACAGATCAGACGTGAGGAGGCAAATGAGAATAAATTATTCAGTGGATCTAAATTCGATCCATTTCGGCGCATGTGCTGGGATCCAGTGAACAACACTGAAAGCTAGCTCAGCATCTATTGAGTAACCTGTCGCCATAATTTGTACGTTGATTGGGCGGTTTTGTGGACAAGTGACAACAAGCTACGAACTTTTATCCTATATGTCTTTACGGTACATTGTTCTCTCGATCGATCAATTCAAGCATCTGACTAAGTCAAGATCAAGTCAAGGTAAATGATCGTTTTGTTCAGCTTTAATCATGAAACTCATAACCGCAGGGAATGAAGACCAAATGGCAATCAAGACAATATCGTCCACATACCCACAACAACTGAGAATTAGTTGTTTTCACCCAACACACTTCTGTTGGTAAAAACGAAACCACAACGATTTGAAAACGAAGTTATCGAAAACATTTTCGAAGCATATTATAGTATGCTTGTTTATTATCCAAGAATAATGTAACACTCACTCCTTATTGGTCAAGCAATACAGCGCTTCCCAGTCAGCGTTTAGCGGATGAGTTGTACCTTTGGGATTTCATCAAGAAACACGATTTTTATCTAAAATTCAATCATTTAAATGTGTGAAACAAACATTTCCATTGGTTCGATGAGACCATTTATACAATCAATTTCGATGTCAACTGGAATGTCGTACGTCACCGGCTCGGTCCTTGCGTATTGGTCCCCGCTCAGTATCTGTCTTTTTGTTTTTCACCTCATTTGCTTTTATTGACTATACAAGAATACGATTTTCAGAAAGGGAGAAGCGGCCACCCAAAGAGCTACCATTCAACACACAATGCGGGTAGTTAGGCGGTGCTGGTGGGATTCGAACACATATCGCCGGGGTGATAATTTGATGACGTTACCACTGGGCCACCACAGCCGGAAGATGAAACTACATTATTAATGGATTATTAAAAACCAACCTTCCTGGTTAATGGAGAGCTTATAGCTTCATATCTGATTGATGATTAGACACAGAGGACTCAAATCACCCTTTTCGGGGATTCTAAACGCCTTTCAAATGACACTATTCAAATCCCCTTTTGTAGATTCAGGTATACCAATCTTTCTTGATCAACAGATTGTGAGTTTAGACGAGTTCTCCCCCGCACCGTCCACAACGTGCGATGGTTCAATCTGATTATTGGATTCGCCGTTTTGCTATGCATTATAACTGTTACGTAAAATATTAGCCCATCGTATCATGGTCCCAAGTAGCCTCAGCATGGCAGTATCATGGTGACCGAAAAAATTAGTTATAATTGTTCTATTCAAAGACTATTCACATACGGAACCTTTTGCAAAATTAAACTTGATGTTGCCCCGCAAACGTGGCCCTCACAAACAGGGTAATTGATGAATGGATTCACGAAAACACTAAAAGATAAATTACATCGCTTTAAACCATGCTGGAAAAAATCATAATCAACTGTGTATCCATTTGAACAAATTTTGGATCAACAAATTCAACTTTATTGTCTGCGGGATCAAATCCAATAGAGATTTCTTCCGGTGGAAATTATTTTAATTTATTACCAACTGCCTACGATTACGTAGTTGGTAATATCAATAAAGTTCTAAACATCGAAAACAGTTTCATTCTTTCGTCGCATCTGTTGTAACCTTCTGTTGTTCGTCTCAGTAAGTAAAATATTTTCATAATATGAAACAAATCATGTGATAACAGCCAATTATAAGGTAAGTATTAACTTCACCTGTAACAAAATCCAATCTAGTTGAAGTTACTTATAATAGTATTCACTTAGTTGAAGTCCGAGCACAGAACTGTTAGACATTTCCCTAAAGATAACCTATTTTAGCATTTTTCCTCAGTCACACTTCTAACATGGCATTTGAAGATTCTTGCGAAACCACAATTCTCTTTTCATCACTGAGCAATGACTAGTTCTGTAGTGGTCCAGTGACCGCCCCAGTTCAGAGCAGTCACACGTGGAACGAGGGTCCATCCTCACAGGTTTGTCATTCGTGTCGATTTTCTCAGGTTAAAATGCACAGCCGGCACTTCTGACCTTGTCAGACTGAAACCACAACGGACCCGAGAGAAGATCCAAACGAATCGCAGTGTTTTTGATTCCAACAGACAAGCAAGTGTTCCCTTCTGCCAACTTGATTGTTACACCGTTACAAGGCGAGAGCGAATGCGTCCAGCCAGATCCGTATATAGGATTCCTAATATCACCGAAACAGCTCCTTGCGATAGACCGACACGATTTATGTGTAGTGTGACTAAAAGTGTCATGGTCCGCATGCTGAGCACTTTTGCTATTCTGTTACTGGTTACGAACTTATTGATAGCAGTATTCTAGTCTGTACAATGTGGACCATCATCTATTTGAAGTAAACCGTCTTCTTCAGTGTTCTATTGTCCCTAAACTGTTTTTTCATATCACCCAGGTAAGACGACCTTTTACAAAGTTTTGTGTTATGTTGTTTAACAGTATCCAAACATTGATTCCCTGCTTGTTCCATTTGTTGGGTGCGCGTGTTCACAAACTAGTACAATATTTTTTCATTGGCATTATTTGGTTATGGGCCACAGTGAGAAGAGAGCTGCGAGAGCTCCGATCACGCCTTGTTTCTACGCTGTGAGAAGTACCTTTTTTTGAAAATATTGCATGTCTGCATTGCTCCTCGTAAAATTATCATGTGAAACACCAAATGTTCCCCAACTATCTAAATTGGTGATATGAACTTGGTCACGTTTATTTAAACATCAGCGGTCGCGGTGACCGCTTTCGTTTAGTTCATGAAATGCAAGCACATGTGCGAATACGATTGGTTGGTTGCCCACTCGACAGCCACCAATGGGCAGATGCCTAATCTTTCACCTTCGAACAAAATGGCGTCTGTTTCATTACCTGCTGCACGCGATAAACTGAGGTCAAAAATGAGCGTGGTTGGTTATTCTACAGTGCAAAACCGATACAGTGGAAACCATTTGAGAAACATGTCGCTGACACAGGCCCCAACCATATTAAGGGTATCCTTCCTCAAAAACTCACAATGTTTTGACCGTGACAAACGTTCCAGATCCATGTTCGAGTTTGGCTAGACGACTCTCCTACGTATGTCTTTGCTGACAAAGAGTTCGTGACATCCCTGCTGCCAAAAAACGACAGTTTTGTTTTTAGTACGATCTGGCTTCTCCAGTAGAGTCTTAGAAGCAGCAATGTTTGTCATAGAATATTCCTAATGAGAACAGACAAAGAAATGTAACCGGTAGAAATTTCTTTTCGACTTCGGCGTCCAGCCGATAGTGTTATAAAAACAGGTGAATGCATACACAGTGTTCATTTCAATTGAAAACATCGAATATTGGACACAATTGGAATATGGAATTGGACAGCAATAGATTACGTCAAGGTTGCTTATCACCGTGTGAACCATGGCCGCTAAGATAATGAAGCCGGATCTGTGCAGGTAATGCTATCTGTTTCAACCACTGCCGTTACTATGCCCGCCGTGGAGCATTTTGCTTCCTCTATACAATCACCTGCCCTGTCCGAATTCACGCCTTCAGTTGCCGCCGTTTCCTCCTATGTGCACACCTGACTGTCCAATTCAAATTTGTAGTCATCCTCGTAGATCAACCAACAGATGCATCCCGTCGTGTAAACGATTCAGATTGCGTGTGCACTGAACGCTCCAACCGCTTGCAAAGAAAAGAAAAACGATGATTAGACAGTGAATGTTTGGATTAGCCCATTCGGTTATTGACACAGACATCAGGCATTGTTGATGTACTTGGGCGAGGGTTTCACCCCTTGAGAGATTGGTAATTCCCCACGAGGTAAATGCATTTAAATGCAATGGAAATCATTATGATGTCCAGTGCTCTTTGTCAGTCATCACAAAGATTTCTATCGCATTTAGAAAGAGGCTTATTTCACATGAAACATGTTGATAGTAACGCATTAGTCGAATGGCGTGACGACACAAAAGCCAGCGGTCATTTGTGGCTCGTGTGGTTTCATCCCCCATAAACCCGAAAATTTCTGGTCATCCGCCGGTAGTGGAACAATGCAGTAATAGGAATAGAACACTTAAAGTCACGAAAAAAGCCTAAAGATAAACGACATAAGTAATTACATGTAAGGAATGAGCTTGATAATTAGACGCCAGTTGAATTCGGAGAATACCTATTGTATGATGGCTGTAGAAGATCAATGAATGATTTCCAGTAAATCATGAGATAATAAAACAGCTCTCATTCTTCACAAAATTTATTTTAAAGTCGTTAGTAATAGGCAAAACTGTATTTTTTATCCACTGCACCACACAAAATCTATTATAACTCCCTCCCCCCCCCCCCCCCCCCCAAAAAACA